TGAAACTTTTGAGTTTCTTTGGTTTATGGTTACTTTGCCCAACAAGGTGGCAGCACAACTGTGGCCTGCCTCCTTCAACTCTTGCATAATTTATTCTTATGTACTGTTTCTCCTACCTTCAGGGAAGTCAGGTATGTTTGTTTCCTCCTGTCACAGCTGACACTGCTTTCCTCCCATCACGGGACAAATAAACGTAGCTTTAAATGCATTCTGTTCTCTGAGAATTTTATAGCCCCTACCAAAATCAAGACACTACTCCAAAATAATACATTTCAGTAAACCTAATACATTTTGAATGTTTTGTAAAGTAATCCCCAAAGACAATATGTTCTTTAAATAAGTGTTTTTAAAACAGAAAGTATGTACATTTCAATCACTATTTTGGGGTTTTTTTATTATTATCTAATAATGCATGACATTAATAAAAAGCCAGTATACAGAAACATCTCTCATAACACAGGAAGCCTCCCTTCATGCACCTCACTCAATTCTGTTGCCCTCCAGGGGTAACCACTGGGAACAGTGTGGTGTGTATGCATCAGATCCATTCCTCTCTGCATTTCCGTCTGTATTTCCCCCCCACACAGATGCACACACAAACAATATAAACATAAATTTAACTTCAATGAAGTAATTCTGTACTATTTTTCACTTAACACACCCTGGAGACCTTTCCCTGTCAGTAAATATAATTCTAAATTCGTCCTTTTTGTGAACTTCATAAAATTCTGTTATATAACTACAACATGGTTAATGGAATAAATGTGCATTTAAGTAGTTTCCATTTTTTTTATTTTTTATTTTTGGCATTGCAGAAAAGCTCCAATGAGAATTCTCTCTGCACAAATGTCAATATTCCTATGCTGGAGCCCTAGATATGAAAGAGCAGAGTCAAAAGGCTCGATGGCTACAGCCCAACTACCTTCCCTGAAGGATACACCTATTTACACCCCCACTCACAATGCTTGAGAACACCTGTGTTCCCACACCTCCGCCACTCCTGGGTTTATATCTAACTTTTTAATATCTCAGTACCGATGGGTAAGAAAACAAATATCTGCCTGTTCAATTTGTATTTACCTGAAAACCAGTGAAATTTAGCACCTTTTCAGTCATTCGTGTTTATTTGCCTATGAGTTGCCTGTGCATTTCTTCACCCATTCTTCCTATGGCCTCATTCAAACTGGTTTATAGAAATGCCATAAATTATGGGTAATTGCCGATTTCAATTCTTTAGTGAAGATATTTCTTCCTAGTCTGTTGTTCATCATTTTACTTTGCTTATGCTTTTTTTTTTTTTCTTTTTGCTGTATAGAAGTTGACATCTTTATGTAGTCAAATGAATAATTGCTTGGGGGGGTCCTTGACTAGCTCCAAATTACAAAATAATTTTCCTACATTTTATTTCAATACTTCCATTGTTTTGTCTTTTTATGTCAAGACTCTTACTCCATCTAGATGCCCCATGTCCTGTTTCCACTCCTTGTGTTTGTTTACTGAATTGGAGTTACTCTGGGCTTCTGTCGGGAAGATTGACCTATTTCTGTAGTGCCTTCCCGGGGTGTGTTTTGGGTTAAGGTATCTTTTGCTCTGGTTTCTGGAAATGGGATCCATCTGCTTACCAACCTCTAGTCATTCCTCACTGGTAGTCCCTTTCTTTCTAGCACTATTATGTTTTTATTCACATTTTTATATCTTCTCTTTCGTTTCAGTGGAATTTTGGAAAAAATAGGATATAAATGCATATGCTCAGTCTGCCATCTTAAGTGGAAATGTCTTTGTGGGTTCTAAAAAATATTTTTTATGAAATAAAAATATGTACATAATAGACAATTTGGAAAATACAAAAAGGCAAAGAAAAATCAACCAAAATTCTACTATTCGATAATTAAAAATGCTAAAATGTTGGTGAATTCACTTCCAGCATTTCTACTGCAAGTAAATAAAATTGTCATAAAAATGTAGTATCATATTATATAGTTAGTTTTATACTATGCTTTTTAAACTCACATTATTTGCAGAGTATTTTCCTATATCCTTGAAAAACACAATTTCATAAAAAATGGTTGTAGAGCACTATCTGCACATATTTCTTAGACATTAACAATCAATTTATTTTTATTAATATACTTATTTCCAGAAAGAGTAATACATTTCCATGATTTGAAACAGTGAAAAAAAATCTCCTTTCCAAGCTCTGACTCCTGGTGACCAGTTTCCCTTCCTGAAGTCAACACGATCCCTAATTATGCTGCAAAGACAAAGTCTCGGAGGTGGAATTGGGCGAGAGGGCATATATCTTTATAGCTCCTGATAAATACTTGCTCCCTGGGAATGTATAATTTACACCATCCCTGTATGAAGCCATCCTCTTTCTTTTAACATTTATCAGTTTGGAAGGCAAGAAATGTTTTCTCCAACTAAGAATGAAGTTTGAGCATCTGTTTCATAATTCGCTAGCCCATTCTGCATCTTCCATCATAAATTAATTGTCTATTCCTAGCCTTTACCACAAAGGACCCTTTAAAAATACTTTCTTAGCTTCCAGGATCATGGCCAATCCACTGAGTTCCCCCCATGTCAAGTTAAAGTGAGGCCTTCTCAAGCAACAGGATTCTAGTTCAGTTCCCTTAATCATATCATCAGTGAAACCCCACTGCTTTCCACTCATACTTTGTTTTAATGAGATTTCTAATAATGCTCAAGATTTCTTTCTTGAGGTCTGCTCTGAACTTCTGACCAGAAAGTAGACTGACAGCCCAGGATTTTGCTCAGAGGAGCCATGAAGGTGATGTAAGGCTGGTGTTCTCCAGTGTCCTCCCATCTGATTCTTGCAGGCAGGTTGTACAGCCCGGAGTCTATTACCCAACTTTTCTGTGCCTTAGTCACTTTCACTCCCAGGTGTTGCTCACCTCCACACCTTGGCCCATGCTGCCTCTGAGGTCTGGAAGGCTCTTCCAGCCCAGCCAAGTGGGCCAGGTGCCCCTCTTCTATGCACAGGAGCACCTGGGGTGCATGGCTATCATCTGCACATGTGCAGTTCATGAATGTTTTCTCCTCCCGCCCCCAAACTCTCTAGCTCCCCAGAGCCATGCACAGAGCCCTACAGAGCAGCACAGCACATGCCTGCCACTGGGTGATTATTGCTGATCTGAAACCAGTGCACACACGCCTGCCCCACTCGCTGTCCAACAGCATAGCTTCTCAAACGCTTTCCACAGCTGGCTGCAGCTCACCACTGCCTACAGAATACAAGTAACCTCCTAAACACCCAAACGACATTCAGAGGCCCCCTGCACCTATTTTTCCAGGCTTAGACAACCTACGTGCTTCTTCTCACAGCAAAATAAAGAACAAAGTGCAGTCCTCACAGAGCCAGGCCTGGCCAACACTGCTCTCCTCTGAGCCTTCATCACTTTTCACTTTTATGCATCTTCCCTACCCCTGGGTGAGTTCCAAATGCAATCTTGTCCCGACTCCCCGTTTTTTCTTCCATACCCCATAATTTGACATTTCTGTTCGTGATGCCACTCATCAAACTCCACCCTCTATTACAAGCATTCAGTGTCTTATGAGGTATGCTTATATTAGATGATTAGCTAATGTTAAGTGGTTTTTATCTTTCTTTTCTTGGTGGATGTGGCATTGCTGCATTTTCTGGATCACTGTACACAGAGAAGATGAATAACTACTGATTGGATGGGAGTGCACTGTTGACTTTTTCTCTTCTTCTCACCTTCACCTTGTTAAAACAAGTTTTTCCCTCCCTCTCCCTCTCCCCTCCCCTCCCCCTTCTCCCTCT